TAATTTAGTTAATAATAGTTGAAGCATCCCCACCTTAGTTCACTTAATTCCTTAGATACTTATGTAGATCCTTGTTGATTATTGTTAGTCAGATACTCTGCCTATTCCTGGAAATCTATTGATGAGCTAATCAGATACTTTGTCTATTCCTGGAAACTGTTTGCTGATCTGTGTGTCATTGAAACGTCGCCTGGCTAAGGGCTACTCCAGATCAATAAAAGATTGGAGCAGCCTGAGCATGGGTGGAAGTCCCTCTCCTTGAGTTGGACTTGCCTGCCTGGACCTCCAATATTGCAAAATTATCTCGTGTCTTTTTCTCTCATTTGTTGTGCGGCTCCTCTTTCAGGTACCGAACCCTACTCCACGCAGGTCGTGGAAGGAAACACTCAACAAAAAGACTACCTTTTCTTGTCTTTCTCCAAAAGAGACTTAGAATGAAACGTAGTTTATTTTTTGAATAGATCTTAGATAATAGAACTGGGAGACTGGGAAGGATGAATCAGGTAATAAAGACCACTGCAAGTTGTCTTAACAACCTGGTCAATGCTGTAGGAATTGGGGCTTGATCCCCCAGTGAAACTCTTGAATATCTGTGGAAAACGAATTTTAAAAAGGTCCATCCAAGGAATGAAAGAATATTGCTCAAGGTTTGCTCTGTGGGGTGTTAGTGACTCACATAAGGTTGTGTATGAATTAGAATATCTGAGCAGCTTCCTGGGGGTTTCCTCATAGCAATTGCAGGGAAGCCTCAAGGCAGGAGGTGAATAAAATCTAAGCCATTTGGAACATATGCCAGGGAGATTCATGACAGCAGTAGGTGGCCAGGTTGAATATAATGCCACTCCCAGTTGATGGTCAGAGACCTATCTTGTCTCTAGACTGAGGTGAGGCAATCACCCAGGATCATTCAAAATGAACTGGATCATCAGGGAAACGTGCTTAGTGGAACACAAATCTTGGATTCCGAGCGGTTTCAAGGTGATTTCCACAAGATTAGAGACAGTGGCTTGTATGGAAGATCTTTTAAGATCCAGGACCACAAATACCATCCATGTCATGACCTACAGTGGTCAGGAGGTCATCTATCTGGCCCATCATCCCACTCAAGAATAAAAACACAAATAAAAATGGTAGTAATAAGAATCTTACCTTAGCATATCATTTTATAGTTTATAAAACTTTATAAACATTATATGCAGTATCTTCTTTGGTGTTACCAGTGATTCTATGAGAAGGTATGATATTATTCTCCTTATTTTTCAGAGAAGGGATTTTAAACTTTTTGAATTTGGAGGGTTTTAACCAAGATTCCTTGTCTTCATGTCATCAGGCAGAAAGAGAATCAAGTCATGTTTTGTCCTAATCCCATCATCCTAAAAGTTGCCTTTATTTTAACAAAATTTCCTCCTGTCAATTCCTTTGTAAGTCCTAACACCTGCCTGCCACTTCCAGTTGTCAGCAGCAGCCCAAGTGAACCACTCAGTCATGTCACTGAAAGCATGAGCAAATTTTACCATTAGCAAAATTTATTTGCAATTCCATTGCCATTTGTAGTGTTTGATCTCTTACCAAGGATGCCTACTAGATCTGAAGAAAACTGTCTTCAGATGCTGTGTCACCCCGGACAGTTCCTAACATGAAGAAATGGAAACTCAAGAAAAGCAACATTTCTAATAAAACAAAAGTGTCATGACACATATACCAGTCCTAAGTTATCTGAAGATTTGAAAATATGTAACTTAACTAAATTTCTCTCTTTCCATCCATTTCCAAACTTTAGGTCACCAAATTTAACTAATTAATGAGTAGTAATAATGAAAATGATGATAATTATACTATTGCTATGACTCCTATAAGGAATAATAACTGATCATTGAGAACTGACTGTGAGCTAGGCATATGTTAAATGTTCTATTAACTAACTTAGTTAATTCCCACAATAATCCTTATATAGAGTATTGCCATTACCCTCACCTTACAAACAAGAGAATTAGGTAGAGAAAAGCTAAGTGAGTTTCCCAAATAACACAGCAAGGGCGTGGCTGATTCGATGTGGTCCCGGCAGCCTTACCCACTGTGCCATCCTGCCTGACTCTCCGACCCAAGTTCTGTAGTCTGGTCTGCAGTTGTAAGCTGTCAGTGTCTGGGAAACCAGACTTTCACAATTCCCAAGCAGCGGGTGTAAAGTGAAGTACAGCGTCTCAGAGCAATTGAGAAAGTGATTAACATCTTTGGAGGGGTAGGGGATGTGTGTGTGTGTGTTAAGGGTAGGAGCAGAAAAGGGCATTGCAGAAAGAAAGAAATGTAGAGAATTGCCTCAGAAGTGTTTCCTCCCCCACCTAGAATTTCAGAGTGTATTTACAACTTCCTAGTTTCTCCTTTCTACTACAAACAAACGTGTACACATCTCACTTTTATGCTCCCATGACTGCTATAAAGATCAAGAGTGTTATGAGGTGATTCACTACCTGACCAGACACAGCCTCCCTGTGTGCTCTCGGGGAGGAAATCATTCCCGCATGCTGCCTCTCCTGCATGTGGAGGCTCTTCACCCGGACTTTGCAAAAGCATCTCCAGATCCAGGAGTCCCAGCTGGGACAGGCGCCTGGATTGACCGGGAAAGGGCACAGTATACACATCTCCCCCCAAAGAGGTGACATACCCGGTCTGTTTTTCCTTCGGTCTGAAGGCTGGTGTGGCTGCGGACCTCATGATCCTCTTCCAGGTCAGAAACATCCTCTAGTTCCTCGGGGGTCTGTGAACAGAGAGCAAAACATCGCTGATGGGAATGCAAAATGGAAAACAGTCTGGCAGTACCTCAGAAAGGAAGCACGGGGACCAATATGACCCAACAATTCCACTCCTAGGAAAATGCCCATGAGAAATGAAAACATATATCCGCCAAACACTTGTAAACAAATGTTCACAGCAGCACCAATCATAATAGCCAAAATGTAGAAACAAGTCAAACAGATATCTACTGATAAATGGATAAACAAAATGTAGTAAATTCATTTAATAGGATATGATTTGGCCATGAAAAGGAATGCAATATTGATACATGCTATAACATGGAACATGGGTGAACCTTGAAAATATTATAGTAAGAGAAAGAAGTCAATTACCAAGACTACATATTATATGATTTCACTTACATGATATGTCTAGAATAGGCAAATCTATAGATAATAGTTCCTAAAGGAAGGAGTGGGTGAGGAGGGAGTGGGTAGGACTGCTAATGGGTATGTGGTTTCTCCTTGGGATGATAATAATGTTCTGGAATTAAATGGTGTAACGGTTACACAATCTTGTGAATATAGTAAAAAACACTGAATTCCACACTTTAAAATGTTTAAATGAGTGGTGCATGATTACATCCTAATACATTTTTAAGTTAAATTTATTGGGTGACATTGGTTAATAAAATTATATAGATTTCAAGTGTACAATTCTACAATACATCATCTGTATATCGCCTTGTGTGTTTACCACCCAAAGTCCAATCTCCTTTTATTACCATGTCTTTGGTCCCCTTCCCCCCTTTACTACCCAAACTCCCTACCTCCTTTTCCCTCTGGAATCCACCGTACTATTGTCTGTGTCTGTGAGTTTTTGTTTGTCCTGTTTGTTCATTTGTGGCTTTCAGTTTTATATTCTAATATATTTTGAAAGAAAAAGGATGTAAAACTGATCAGAAGGAAGTTTTACCTTGAGTGAGTAGCAATTTGGCTAACCTGGTATGTGGTTATCACAAATCAAGTTGTTTAAAGGTGACTGGATCATTATCATGAAAGCCATACAACCTCAACATTCCACTAAAGGTAGTGAGAGATTAAATTTTTTAAGACCTTAATAAATAATTTAACATGGATTTCAGTATTTATTCTAAATAGTTAACCTCCTCCCATTCCTTTTTTTCCACTTTAGCTTAAGCATCTCTCTTCAGAGGTGTCTTGCTCAGGAACTCCTACGCTGGGCTGGGCTCCTCTGCCATTCCTTCCCTTATTCCCTCTCCTTTCACTATCATATTGCTAATCATACTTTATTATATTGCCGTTTATATTACGTCATATCACCAAAACCTGGCACATACATGCTTCTGAATGAATGGAGCAAAATTATCAGTGATAGCCAAAAAGACAGTTGGATATAAGCAAAACAACACTCACCAACAGTAACAACAAATACTTGTTCTAACTGTACCTTCACTGTGCTTCCACCTTCTGTATTCCAAAGTAAAATTTTTTTTGTTTTCTACTGTTTTTCTTTGTTTCTAGTTCAAGGTTTTTATTCCCTTAGTCCAGTGGTTGGCAAACTGCAGCTCACGAGCCACATGTGGCTCTTTAGCCCCCTGAGTGCGGCTCTTCCACAAAATCCCACGTGCGGGTGCACACGTACAGTGCGATTGCAACTTCGTGGCCCATGCGCAGAAGGCGGTATTTTGTGGAAGAGCCACACTCAAGGGGCCAAAGAGCTGCATGTGGCTCGCGAGCCGCAGTTTGCCGACCGTTGCCTTAGTCTCAAAGGGGAAATAATGTAAGAAATCAGTCCTTATTGCAAAAAACAAGTGTAAGTAGTTAACAAGAATTAACTTACTATTTGTCTTAGTTTATACAGTCTCAGCATTAAACTATGACTCTTGCTACAAGGTCCTGGTGGGAAAACTAGAATACAAACAATTAGGTTTCATGAAAAACTACCAAAAGCATTGTGGAAGGCCTTTTATATCCCCGACTGCTAAAGACTTGGCAAGAGGCACAACTGCCTCCTGAGACCAGCTCTGGTGTCCCTCGGACCTCGCATTGGCCATGGGCTCTTTATTTTCAGAGCTGCGAGCGGTTTCCTTCCCCCGAGATGGGAACAGAGCGATTAGTTCACATAGTGGAACACAACACTCTCAATTTCATAACCACTAAGGGCCTGAGATTCTTTCTTATCTCATGGATCTTTAACTAGCACGTTCTTTGTTCTCTAACATTTGCAGTCAGCATCATCGGTCTCTCTGCATTTATTTCAACTTACTCGGATGGGCTATTAACACCCCCCTTTTACCAAGGCCTCCAATAGGCTAAGTAATTGTTATCTATTTGTTGATCTCTATATGTAGTCCTTCTTTGCTACAACTAAATGCAGCTAAAATCACAGGGCAATTTACTCTCTCCTCTTAGGCATTAAGAACATGAGCTCACCACTATGGAACTCCTACACATCACATATTTCTTATTTGCCATTTCTGTGTATTCTTCCCACAATATGCTTGAGAAATGATCTTTGCAATTCCCCTCCTTGACACATCACCAGCCCCTGTAACATCTGAATGCATTCAGTTGATCAAATTCCCTTTCTTGGGTCGTGTTTTGCAGCGGAAGGCTGTCTGGTGCCCCTACTGTGACCTGTTTCTTATAAATATGTCTTGTTTATTACTTGGATGACACTCTACAATGTAGAGATCTATAACTTCATCATTGGTTCCAATATTTTATTCAACCCCAAAATAAAGTTACTTAACAGGAACTAAGAAAAACTGCTGCGAGAAGTCACAAGTGCCATTTCTGCTAGTGAGACTGCAGAGAGAGAAAAGGCTCCCGTTGATGCCCACATACTTCTGTGCTTTTCTTTGTCTTTAAACCACTAATAGTCTTCCTGCTAAGCTACCACAAGTGACCTCTTCTTTTCATGAGCAAAATCAATGGGGGAGTGTTCAAAATACTTGCTGGCAGGACGATGCCTTCTGTACGGCAAGCGGCTGGATGGCATTGAAAAATAAAATGTGAAATATACAATATTACAGTTTAAATTAAGTGGAAACTAAGGTAGGAGCAGTCTAATCATTTATAGGACGATACATTAACTCCTTCAGGACTGAAGACAAATAATAATAGAAAGAGCAGATGTTATCTGTCCTGTTTATCACTCTGAGTACCTGAGACAGCCGATACTATGTGCTCAATAAAATTTCCTAACTGAATGAAGAAATAAAGGGTTTTATAACCAACTAGAGTCCTGTTGCATGAAGAGATTCATGCAATAGGCCTTCCCTTCCCTTGGCTGCTGGCACCAGTTTGCCTCTGGCACCCAGGACCCAGGCCTTTGCTCTGGCCATGCTCCGCCCAGAGCCAGCCCCGGAGCTGTCGGGCTTTGCTGCTCTGGCCCTGGGGCCTTCAGGCTTCACTCTGCTGCTTGAAGCCTACTTATGCAAATTAATCGCCGTCTTTGTTGGGTTAATTTGCATACTCTCCTGATTGGCTGGTTAGCATAGTGAAGATACGGTCAATTTACATGTTTGTCTATTATTAGGTAAGATGAGCTTTGGTATCAATGTCACAGGAAGGTCATGGAAACATTTTTGAGCTATGAAGTAATGTTTAATCTTTTGCCTTCTGCCTTTAGTGTGTGTTGATTTAATAATCCCTTGTCTAAGGGAAAATTTGAGGTGGTTCCTGGACTTTTTTTTTTAAGTCTATGGAAATTCGAGACAATAGATTCTGAACAGAGAGATTTTTCACAAGCTTCAAATTCATAGACTTGGAAAATGAGAAAGGCAGCTATGCATTCCACGAACATTGCAGAATTCAGAGAAAAATGCCATCTACCAAATCCAGCCAGTTTCAAGTCTCACCCGGATCCTGTGCCACAAACTTTACATGGGAACAGCGAGTAGGAAACCCTGAAGAGCTCCATGGGCTAGCACAGTGGGCATCTCATCGCTAGCCAGTGTGGGAAAGTGACAAATGATTGGTAGTCTCTCAGCTGCCTGAAAATGGCCTAAGGCTCTAGAAAAGTTTCACAACCTCGGCAATATCGACATCTTGCTCTGAATCGTTCTGGTTGTAAGGGGCTATCTTGAATACTGTGGAATATTTAGCATGATCGTGACCTGGGTACCATCTGAAGTAGGACCATTCCCAAGATGTAACAAACAAAACTATCTCTAGACATTTCCAAACGTCTCCCACTGGGGAGAAGGAACACCTTCTTTGAGAACCACTGCTCTAGAACTCTGGCTAAGATGTTGCAACACAGGGGGCAAGGGTTAGGGGAAAGCCCAATACCTATGTTTACATTTCCCATAAGCAAAGTTAAAACTTAGTTGCCTTAGGAAACCTGAAAATAAAGAGTAATTTTTTTCTTGTACGTCTGAATTTGTAGACAGAAATACATACCCCGTATAACACCATTATGGTCACAAAACAGAAGAGGGCACCCTTTAATCATTTTAGTCTTAACCAAACAATTGGCAGACAATATCAAAAGATTGATGAAAATAAAATTACAAACTTGGTTGGAGTATTAATACCATTTAATAAGTGGGTTTTATTATATGTTATATTTTAAAAATTTTAGTTATAAAGAAATTATTACCTAGAGATATGCAGTGATGGTTCAAAGTTGCTTGGATGTTAGAAAAGTCAAGTTAAGTCATCTCGACTAATATATTTGTGTGCTCTTTTTTTCTGTATATTAACAGACTATTATGCTAGATACTAGATATCTTTAGACAAATGAACCATAATCCTTACCCTCAAGAGAGATAAAAGCTATAAATAAAAGTTGTTCCCTAGAGTTAGAAGGTGTGAGACTGAATTTGAGTGGTGAGACATGGAGACATTTTCTTAGAAATGTCAGGCAGAAGAGGAGAATAAACATAAAGTGCCCCAAGCTAAGCAGGGAAGGTATTCCTTGTATTATCAGAAAGTTGATAGGCTTGTGCTATAAAGTAGATTAATGAACTTGAAATTAGGATACCTTGGTTTT